TCTCTCTCTCTCTCTCTCTCTCTCTCTCTCTCTCTCTCTCTCTCTCTCTCTCTCTCGTGTGTGTGTGTGTGTGTGTGTGTGTGTGTGTGTGTGTGTGTGTGTGAAGACATGGAAGACACCGGGATTGTGTGGCATCTATTGGTTTGCCCACATGACAACGTGTAACACTGGCAAATCAGGAAAATAATTGGGTTTTCTTTCAAAAGGGAGGGGGTAAAAAGAATTCCTCTTCCCATGATGTTTAAAAAATTCAAAATTTCTTCATTTCTCTCCTCTCTTTGCGATGATTCTGACCACACAGTTGAAAAGGTTCATTTAGGCTGCAAAGATTGTATTTTAAAAAGTGGAAAATGCATGTCCAATCACTTGGGTGGGGGGGGGATGAAAGGATCGTGCACACTTTGAACAGGATTATCAGCAAGTGGGGGAGGGCACCCTAGACATGATATTAGTGAGGTTGCTCTGTCTGTCCCTGTCCTCCCACCCCCAGGTATTTTAATATGTCTGGGGATCCGGGAAAAGATTCACCACAACACACCCAGCACGTTCTCCTGCATTGAATTAGTCCTCAAATTTACATGGATAGAAATGTACTCCTCACATTCACAAATAATGGGGTGGATGCAGCCCACTGACATCTTGTGTCTTTGCAGTGTAAGGGATCCTGGACACATCTCACCTGCAAATGCACACTGGAGCAGACACAGTGAATGGGTAAGCCTAGTAAGGTCCTGTGGTTTGTCCATCTCCACTCAGCCTAATGTGACTAAATTGTAACAATGTCTTTGAACTTCCAGCTTTGGTCTGCATGCCAATGGGTCCCAAATCCTTGGCAATGACTTTAGCAGTCATCTGCCCATTCCAGCAAAGGCCACTGACCCAACTCAAAAGTTATGTACAAATCCAGAAAGTTAAAAAAAAGTCGTGTTGTAGGGAAGGCCTTTGAGATGCGAGCTACTCCCTAGCTCCCCATGTGAGGCTTTCAGAAATAAAAGTGTTTGTTCAGGACTGGAAACTGGGCTCTGAGAGGAATGATCAAACTTCTGATTGGGTCACCCTTGGAGTAAAGAGAGGAGACCTGACATAGGAACTCACTCCTATGCCTGTGGCTCTATCCCTTAAAATGGTAAGTGTTGCCTGATAGACTGCCTGCAAGTATTTTTTTTCCCCAAACCATTCTTAAAATAACAGAAAGCCTGGTATCCATTAATTTCGTTCTTTTAGAAGCCAGTGGACAGGACCTGACACAATCTTTATTAAGAACGTAAATCTTTAGTTTCATGAGAAATTTTGAACCCCGACTCTGGCTTCTCTTAGAACACTGCATTAAATTCTTTCTGAGGCTGGAATGTGGACAACAAAGTTTGGCATCAAGGCACAGAGCCCTCCTGACCCTTCCAACGTCCCCCAGTGTGGCCAGCGGCATGGCGGCCTCTTGTTATACTCTACTGTAAATGGCAAGGAAAAAGATGGGGAGACTGTAAGAGTATTCACACACACACCCCCCCCGATTTACTCCCATTTACTTCTACATTTAAAGGGAACGGAAGGCATGTGATTGTCAGCCGGGCGGGGAAGCGATCATGGATGCATGCAGACATCCACACAGAACCACCTGAGACAAAGAGCCACACTGCAGGTGCCATGGAAAACTGCGCCCAGGCAGCAATGAACTAACCAGGAGCTCAGAAACACTAGGTCCTTACAAAGAGGTCAAAGTTATCTTCTTGGTGTGACCGCAGAAAGAAAAAAAAAATAGTCTATTTGTGAGGCATACAATTATCCAAGACTTTATTAAATGCAATAATAGCAACAATACTAATCCAAATAGTTGAGCAAAATAAAAAAGAAAACCACCTCTCTTCAGCTGTGACATTGTGAGTCATATCGGACTATGGCATTTCCTTAACATTCGCCTTGGTTCTACGGTAGCAGAGGTGCCGCAGGGACTGAAACCAGGGTCCTCTTGCTCACATACACCTGCTTTCTCTGGCCCATGCCTGGTCAGCACCCAGGTGTGAAGACAAAAGACATGCACTCTCCATTCTAGCCTCCTGGCCACCTGTCTCCCTGAGTGAGAGACCCAACACTGGTCCCGTGGGTGGCTGGGTGGCGATGGCTCACAGAGGTGGGAGGTAGCATGTTCCCAGCCACGCTCCTCAGCTCCTCAGGTTCCACAATGTTCCATTTCAGTGAGGAAGCTCTTTTCTGGGGACACGTTGTTCTAAGAGAGACAGGAAGAAGAAAAAAAAAAACTGTCTGTAATTTGTCATGAATTTCAATTACCAAAAAAACTTTTGATTTTTTTTTCTTTTTGAAGAAAAAAAAATTGGCATGCTTCCAGGTTTTAAGAATGTGGTTAACACAGAAAATGACAGAAAGAGAAAGATTAAAGATTGCAAGTGTGTGCGCGCACGTGTGTGTGTGTGTGTGTGTGTGTGTGTGTGTGTGTGTGTGTGCGTGTTTGCAGAAATATCTCAGAACACAATATTCTCATAGGCCAGGCTGAGTTTTCCTGGATGAAGGTGCACGTAGCACTCTGGGTGAGAAAGAGGATTTTGTATTTATGGACAGCAGGATTGTTCTGGCAGGTTCCACAGCATGCCCCAGGGCTGAAAGAAGCATCTTCCGGCACCCCAGACCCTCCCCCTCCACACACCAGAGAACCAGTCCATGGGGCACACTGCTCACACAGGGTTCTGGAGAGGAGATGGGAAATCGCTCTGTCATTGGGAAATACAAGGAACCTCCTACCCCAGATACACAGAATACTCACCAAACGGGAGCAGAACGTTTTTTTTTTTCCTTTTTTTTTTTTTTTCCTTCTATTTTTTGAAATGTGCAACTGTGTGAAACTTGTCTGGTTTCAGATTTACACAGAAATGTGGGCCCATCTTGTTTTCATCCAAACAAACTCAAGCTGAAGAGCATCTTGCCTAAACTGGGAGCGCATTCCCAATTCCTAAACCCACCAGCACTGGGTTCCCCTGGAGTTTACAAAGCATGCGCAGCACAGAGAGGTGTTTCTGTCCTGTTTTCTGGAGGCTGAGCATAGCACCAGCCTAATACACAGGCAGAAGACTAAACAGAAGCATTAAAAACACAGCACAAATAATAGCGACCCGTCTGACCCGTCCCCAGCCTTGAAAAGCAGCCTGACTCCCAAGGCACTGTGTGTACTATGTGACATCAAATGTCTCTCATGAGAAAACAAATAGAATTCTGCAATAACACAGGACAGTGCTACTGAACTGGCCTGGGTCTTTCTGACCAGAGATCAGAGGTCACCGAGGCTAACTGGTGAAATTAAGTGCTTCCCTTGGCTCAGCTCTGCAAGGAACAGTTAAAGGTGGTTTTGCATCAAGGCGCGATGGAATCCTGTCCTCTGCAGTCCTGCCATAGCGCTGAGGGCACACCATGGAGTGCCTGTCCCTGTGAGGTTCCCAGGCTCAGGCCCAGCCTGGGGACTTTGGTACTGTGGAGCTGGAGTCTGAGAAAGCGCATACTCAAAGAGAATGGTTTCCTAAGAAGTAAAGGAAGGTGCGGTGCGCATGCGCCTCTGGGGGACGCCGATGGAAACCACTTGCACAGCACTCCTGAACGCCTGGGAGCAAAGGGATTCTGGAGCAGAACCAGGGTGAGCGTGTGTGGAGCAGAAGGATCAGAGGCAAGAGATGAGACGCAGAGGACGCAGATCCTGCTAGAGTTCAAAGGTCACGGCAAGGGCTTTGATTCGAGATGTGCGGGAGTCATTGGCGAATTTTGAGCCAGCAGATTCGGATACATTTGGGCTGGGCTTGGGAACACACAAACAGAGGTTCTCAAACAGTCCAAGTCAAACCACAGCTAGGCTTCCGAGTTTCAAGAGCCGCTGTCGTTTTGGTTTTCCTTGTTTCAATTTGCAAAAGGCTGATGATAAATACAGCCGTGAATGAGGAAGGGAGTGTCCTCCGGCCTGCATTCATAGGTTTTCACAGAGAAGCTGGGCTGAGCTGGGGAGGCTACTCCCCGAGTAACATGCTTGCTGAGCAAGAATGAGGACCCGAGTTGGGAGCTGCGCGCTGGGACCCACATAAAAAGTCAGGCATGGTAACACACTTTGCAATACCCGCCCCGGGGGGGGGGTGAAGGAGGGGGGCGAGATGGGCAGAACCCCAAGCTTATTAGCCTGGCATTGGTCTACTGAATGAGCTCCAGGCCAAGGAGAGACCCTGTTATAGGGAGTAATTCAGAAAGACACCTGAGGTGATCTCTGGGCTTATGCATACATGTGAACATATGTGCATATACACCCACTCACTCATCCTGTACACAGAAACCGGCGCGCGCACACACGCTCACACACACACACACACACACACACACACACACACACACACACACACGGGTGAAGGATGAAGCGGAGGAGGGAGAAGTCAAACCGAGAGAGGTCCTTACTGCACAGCGAGAAAGTCCTGTAAGAGTCCCACATACCTCCTTTAAGTTCACAGAGTCCCGAGAGGACCCAGTTCTAGGCACATTCTCTGAAAACCAGGCTGGCATCCCTAGGGGCTCAGAGTCCTTGCTGCTCTTTGTATACAGAGAAAAGTTGTTCCTAAACTAACTGACAATGCAAAGCTACCCGGCAGTCTCCAGCTCTGCCTCTCCCTGACCTGGCCACGGCCTCCATTGTCTCATCTGTAAAATGGGACTCGGTCGGACTCCAGCTTCCTACAGAGGGGCAGGCGCACACTGAGGGCATCGTGCCCCTGAAAGCGCTGTGCAGGTCAATGTGTGGCATTTATCTAATTATCTGTCATTACATCCTTGAGTTTTTTAGGGGATACAACTAAGAAAGCCAGGAAGAAATCTAAAGTAAGAGCCTAAGTCATCTACGCTAAGAGAGAGCATGTGTATACATACACATTTATAACAAAGACGTAAAATGTGTTCATACAAAGTCAAAGTAAAAATTAAAATGAATAATAGTTTCACCCCCCAGAGAAAAACAAAATTCACTCTTTCTTTTCTGTTTTTCTGTGTTAAGAACATGATCTAAACACCTGAATAGTATTCTTTCTGCTTGTGTCCTTGTCAGTGTGTAGAGAACATAAGACAGCCATAGCTGTATTACCCCCAACCATGCCTGTTAGAGAGCATTGCCACAGCTGCAAGACACGTTAGAGGAGTCAAATACGATACAGCATAATTATTTTATAGCTATGAAAATATACATGTGTTTACAAGTACCAAGAAGACTTATGTCACTAAATACATTATTATAAAATTAGTGCAAATTCTTAACTTAAAAAAATCAGTAAATTACATCTTTTTTTTGAAGACGTGAGCAATACCCAGGTACCTACATCGTGAAGCTAAGTAGGCAGTACCGATTTAGTGTTTCTACTATGCCATTATTTCTACTATATTTTCACTGGCAAGCAGCAGTTCCTCCAGTTGGCAAATGGTGACATAGGAAGCTCATCTTTCTGTACCTGTTTTCACTTTAAATACATAGAATAAATAAATAATAATAGCTGTATAAATAAAATATATTTTCCTCTCTCCCCCTCTTTCTTTCAATTGTTATTTGTTTAAGACCACTTCATCCTTCAGGCTGGCCTCCTGGTTCCCCTGCTTAGGTCCCCTGCACACCAAGATGGCAAGTGTGCCACTGTGCCCTTGCTTGCTTCTATCTTTTCAATATCCAAGTGGCATAGCACTGAGAAATATTTCAATTGTGTCTGATCTATACATCCAAGCTGGATCACTTCCAATCACATGCTGCCCGTAAAGGGAAGAGGTAAGACAGCTCAGTTGCTGCGGTGGAGCTGTGAGGTTAGTAGATGTAGATCTGCCTCTGTTTGGATACACTGGCCTGTCACACGCGTGTGCCCTGAATGGTGGAACTGTGAGGTTAGTAGATGTAGGTCTGCCTCCGTTTGGATACACTGGCCTGTCACACGCGTGTGCCCTGAATGGTGGAACTGTGAGGTTAGTAGATGTAGGTCTGCCTCCGTTTGGATACACTGGCCTGTCACACACGTGTACCCTGAATGGGACTCTTTCCCCTGTCTCCTCCAGCCTGAATTTTCCTCACTGCAAGCCGCGCTCAGGAGTCATTCGTGTCTCCTTTTCTTGAGATTGACAACGAATGCTCTTTCTGCGTTTTCCCCTTTGCATTCCTGCTCTATATTAATGATTGGCAGGACCTCTTCACATATGAAAGAAACTTGCCTGAGATTAGTCATCTGCTTCACAACATGGGAGTTTTTGTACGGATAAAAAGTAAAGCGTAGGCTGACAATGGTCCTGCAGATATAGAACCTGCCACGAACCCAGGAGACCTGAGAGAGATCCTGCCGATGAGCCAGGGAGAAGTGCTCAGGAAGAAATACTAGAATTCTAGAGAATTCTCATAAAGATGGGGCACATGGGGTGCTGACAAGGGGACCTGTGTACAGGAGGGGTGGCAGATGCCGGAGGCTGTGGGAGGAGATATCAAGGGACACCATGCCCCGCCCTTCCCATTATAAACCCTTCAGTATTTAGCTAACAGCTAATGGGATCCTTCTGGGCAATGGGAAACAAAACAGGTCCATGACCAAACACGGACCATTAGGCAGATGTGAGTCAAAGATGATTGTGGAACAAGCCTAGGTCAGCATCGTAATCTCAGAAACTCTGCTCTCGGCAGTTCCCAGAGCTCTATCCGGTGCTGGGGTGGCTGTCTGCTTCCTTCAGAGGCCTGTTAAATTCCTGCCTGGCCCGCAGAAATGCTGGCTTCTGGCTTCCTTCTGAGCTCTCCTGCTCCATATAAACTGAGCGATCAGCAGTCAGACTGAAGGAATGAAGACCGTCTAAGAATGAAGTAGCCACAGGG